CTTCGGGTCTCTCATTGCTGTTATGTTTGTCATCAGTAAAACTCCTTTCTCCAGTATCAAAATCCTGAAAAAGATGTTCATCCCGGAATCCATGTAGAGCTAAAATTAAGAATACCAAAATAACACTCATTACGAGATTTATAATGAAAAAGTACGACGAAAAACTAGGAATTTCAGTGTGCTCCAAAACTTGTAATTGGAGATGAGAAACTTCTTGAGCCCAAAAAAATCCGTTCAACTAAACTGCTTTCTCGCTGCAAATCTTCAAACAATTCCTATTACGCTTATAACAATGAATATAAATCAACTAACCGACTCCACTTCATCTTGCACAGTTACCGCAGCTCCATCGAACGCATGACAACGCTTAGAATAGAGAATTAAACCCACTGCAACAATCACCCCCGTTATTGCATACCAAGTCTTCATGTCAAGAAGACGACCAAGCAGTTCATAGCAGGTTACTGCAAGCCTCTAGCAACCGAAGTAACAAAACAAGCATTCACCTGTTTTAAACCTGCTTGATACCTAAACCACTTCATTTATAAATTTCAACTCATAAAAGGATGAACTACGAAAACAAAGCTAAATCGCAGCATTAATTACAAACAAGAAACAGCTTAACCACGGTTGACAGGCATCCATATAACACACTTGTAAAAACTTCTCCATCACTCTCCAAAAAGTTTATTTTGTGGAAGGTAATCAAAACTCTAAAGAACAAAAAGAATCTCCACGAAAAGCAGCCGTCCATACAAGCACCCTAATCGGCTAAAAAAAGTACTTTACAAATAAACCTGGTAAGGATCAGACACGAGAAAGCATTACAACACTGACTGATTTCAACAGTTGGCATTATCTTCATACTACTTCAAATAATTTCGTTTAAATCTTCAAAATGGGCTATTTGCAACAAAAAAATATTGAAATGATCTAGAGACAACCTTACCACTTGTATAAAAAAGGAAAAAAAGAATGGAGATAAAAAAAAAAATAAAACGGAACATTCGATGGAACTAACAGAACGGATACGCAGATGTTGTATACAAAAATATTTGCTTGTCCGCAATTATTCAATCAAACTGAGTGTTCTAATTTTCGTCCACCATTAATTCTGCAATCTACAAAAAAAAAAAAAAAACCATTTAGAGTCTAAAACTGGTTACTTTTCTAGCTTTTCTCGATAATCAAAAAAACGTCACCAACATCTGGTGAACAACCATACGAAAAACTTAAGTTACTATGAAAGTTGTCAAAACAATCAATAATATTGGATAACTACTACACGGGTAATAACAATTGAAATGAGGTCGTCGGAAGCCTGTTTATTTCCGTGAAGACAACAGCAATAACGACGACGACAACAACAACAACGTCCGTGAAAATGATTGTGACCAAAATTTAAAGCATCTGGATAACGTGGTGAGAAAAAAAAAATCAGACGAGAAAAAAAAAAGCATGAAAAAGTGATATAACAAGGAAGTCATATGCATTGATTTACTGTCCAAATGCTTCAGATATTGTTTGCCAATTTTCTGTATACAAATACGCACACCAACACAATAGCATCCATCAATTTCGATATTAATGAATCCGCTGAATCAATACTTAAAATTCTTATTCAACAGCAGAATCAGATAGCCGTATATCAATCAAGCAATTAAGAACCGCAACGAAAATAGAACAGTTAATCTTTTTTTTTCCTTTGCCATTTGTTAACAACGGATAAAGTTATATGCTCTGAA